TGGGTAAAACCAACCTAAAATGAAAGAAGTCAGGATAGCCTTTGCCTTTTAGGACACTGTCTGGAAGAGACAAGTGGGGGCTTTTGGGGTACTGGTAATATATCATTTTTGATCTGGGTGATGATATTCCAGGAGTATTCACTCCACAAATTCATTGAAGTGAATTACATTTATGATTTGTTCTCCTTTTTGTACATGTGTTATCACTGAATAAAAACTTATTACAGGAACATCTAGATATTGCCTTTAAAGTAATTATTTTGTGCATCAAAGATATTTGCACAATGTGGGGAGGGGGTTATTAACCTATGTATTCACACCACTGTAAGGAACATGATAAAGCAGATACTTAAATAATTTGCTTAAGTTTTAAATGATGGCATCTTATTTTGACAATGGTCATTTGACTTTTTTTGAGAAATAACTTTTGTGTTTATATTTTATAGAATGGTTTGATGTCAAACCAACAGTGGGAGAAATTACTCTCAATTATCCTCCTGCCCAATCCAGGTTTAAGTCGAAGGTTTCAAAGAAAAAAGTTGCCCCTGTTTTACGTAAGTTCTTGTTTTAACTTTTTGCCTCTTAAAATAGACTTTTTTCCTTTGTTCCATTACAGTTTTAGAAATAGTTAAAATGTCGGTCTAGGCTGACATTCAGTCTTAAATTTTATATTAAATTGGTATGCGGCTGGGTTGTGCTTTCGTTTATTTGTTTCACATGCTCACTTTTTATTTTGAAATAATTTTAAACTTACATAGAAGTTGCAAAAATAGTGCAGAATTCTCTTGCATTGTCACTCAGCTTTCTACAGTGACAGCACGTTACATAAAAATAGTTATGTACCATTATCATTGTATCAAAACCAGAAACATTGATATTGATACAATACCATTTATTAAGCTACAGACTTTATTCTGATTCACCAGTTTTTATATGCAGTCTTTTTTTTGGTATATAATTCTATAAAATTTTATCACATGTGTAGGTTTGTATAACCACCACTACAATCAGTGTACAGAATAATAGTTCTGTATTATTTATCACCCTAAAGACCTTTATCACCCTTTATCACCCTAAAGACATTCCCTGTATACACCCTCCCCACCTGTGACCCCTGGAAACCACTGATCATCTGTAATTTTTGCATTTTGAGAATGTTACATGAGAGGAATCATACTTATGTAAAATTCGAGATGACTTTTAACTCAACATAATGCCCTCGAGATTCATTCAAGTTGTATGTTATCAATAGTCTATTCCTTTTTATTGAATAGTATTCCATTGTATGGATGTATACCACAGTGTGTGTGTGTGTGTGTGTGTGTGTGTGTGTGTGTGTGAAATATATATATGAAAACCCAGGGTAATGCAGCAAATAATTTTGAGGACATATTTAGGATACGCTTTTACTAAACATTATTTGTTATTTATCTGAAATTCAAATTTAACTAGGTGTTTCATATTTTACCTGGCAACCCTACCACAAAGCCTAAAATATTTACTATCAGGCTCTTTACAGAAAATGTTTGTGGATCTTTGTTACAGGGCATGTTTCCTAAAGTGTTAAGAGGGATTTCATCAGGGGTAAAAGTTTACATAAAATCTGGGAGATCAATGTCAACAGATTCCTTTTTTGACAATTTAGGACCTCTTAGAACCTTTAAAATGCTAATATACATTGTAAATATTAAAGAGGAGAGATAAAGAATAAAGTGTTTTCCAAATTCTCTTTGATGACACATCACTATTTAGTTTAGCTTTTGCTTCAATGGCCTTATAGAACTTAGTGTTCCTCAGAGCACACTTTTTAATATCCAGACATCAGGCTGGCCTATCAAAACCCCTTTAACTCATCATACACTTGGGGCATAGTAGTTAGCATGATGGAATCCAGCAGAAGTGAATAACAATGTTTCAATGAAAAAAAAAATGTATCCATAGTTTCGCCTTTAGATTCTGGGAATACAACCTCTCCTTCAACCTGCCTCAACCTTCTGCTGTTCGTGATATTTGCAGTAAAATTTCCAGCAGGGTGGGAGCTGAAGCCAGGGCCGTAGGGTGACCATGGGAGGAGGGGGTCGTGATGGGAGTAGAGGTATGGCAAGGAGACTGCAGGGAGGTTCTTTATTCTTTCTTTCTTTTTTTACTTGCTTGCCTCTCTCCCTTTATGGCTAACTGGATCTGCCTGGGGACGGGCAAGGGCATTACCGTCTGCTTTGGGACCTGCAATGAAACGAAAGGATAGGAGTGAGTAGTAATGTGTCACAGCGCGGCTTCTTTCCTGTGTAAGGAACGGATGCAAATAGACCATATATAAACAACGATGCCTACTGACATTTGAACTGCTCAAGAATATTTCTCATTTCTGTTAGCTTTTTGGAAAATTTTCAAGCTCACATATGAGTTTTTTAGAAAAAGCATATGTAATCATTACCTTAAATCAGGATTCCAAGTAAAATGGACTTTTGCTTTTATAATTTTAATAGTGTATAAACTGCTGTAAATAACTCCTCCCATTTCATTCTCTCAATGCTCTTTTTTGATTCTCTTTCACTCTAGTGATCTTTACCTCTCCTTGGAAAAGGAGGTGGGTTTATGGAAACCTTCCCTGGACAGGGCAGATCATGATGGGAGGGTGAACATACTTTTTTTTTACTTCTCTCAATCCTGTTCCAGATATGTACTTGTACTCCCTTAGTCTAGGTACACAGAAAATTAATGAATGCTGTGGATTTGACATTGGTAATTACATGGGTGAGAACTATTTTAAGGGTTAAATGATTTTTTCTAAATTTACTAAAGGTATTCCATTCCCATTGTTTCTGATAAAAGGGTAGAGCGAATAGTTCAGATCAGCTACCATAATTTAAAAGTTACTGGAAGGAGGAGAGGCAAGAACACTAGACTGTAGGAGCTTAACTCTATTTTCCAATCTAAGATTGCACATAATAGCACTGAAATCACAGGCTGTTCATCTGCAAATCTTCTAATTATCAAACAGGGTCACCAAAATTAATTGTAAGATAGGTTGTTATCTTTGCTTTTTTCTTTTTTTAACACTTAAGTTCCTCTACTTGTTTACCAAAATCTAGTATCTAGCAAAATTATGAGCCAATGGGATAGAGATTTCTTAGTTGTTACTGGCTCCTGTATTAGAACTGAGTGACCTAAAGTGTCTGGGTGGCCAGCTTGGATGCCTCGGTGTAATCAGAGTTCCATAAACTGAATTATGAATCACGGACATTTGTCAAATCTAAGTCCAAAATTGTGCCACTGTTGCCTCAGCTGCTTTTTTGAAGCAATATCTAAAAATAGTTGAGTCATATTCAGTATCAGATGCACCAAAATAAGCCCTGGATATTTTTAGGCACTGCTGATGACTTCTGGAGGTGGGTGACATTCAGATGTTTTTTTATCTATGACTACTATAATGCATGATTTAAATATTCTTGTTTACCAGACAGATTAACCTGTGCACAGCCTGCTGCCAATCATTCGGCGTATATTTGATACATTAGAAACACTGATGATTGTGTAAATATCTAAAAACTATGAATTGATTTTAATTTTGTTTATTTAAATATTTCAGAAAATACAGGTAATTGTGACAGTTCCCATCGAGAAATTTATGTGAAGCAAGCTGGAAAACTTTCTGATTCTGCTTTTAAACCTACCAAAAACATGGAAAATAAAACTTGAAAAGCACCTGTCAAATGGCTTTGAAGATGTGATACCATGATCTCTTGCCTTACTAAAGAGATATTATAACCTAGTCTTGGATGTATTTCAATAATAAATAAATTGAAGTGGTGTCTTATCCATAATTGGGCTAAGAACATTTCTTTTCAATTCAATTCAACAACCATTTATTAAACACCAGTGCCAGGTACTGTGGAAAATATAAAATCAAATAAATGAGTACAGAATGAGCAAAAATAATTTTAAACAGAATTCACTATGGTAACACTTCTTTCTCATAAATTGTATAGGAATGATGAATCTACTTTGTAATATGTTTTCCTCATTAGAGCTACTACTTTGCCTGCTATTATATATTTACATGTCATATTCATTAATAAAAATTCATTTTGACTTATTAAAATTGGCCCATAGAAAATCTTGTTCATCTCTATGACCCTTAATTTAAACCACTTAAACAAACAGGTGCTCTTCCTATTGATAGGGAGTTGTGGGGAAGGAAAATCATGCTTTTCTTAGAATTTGGCTCTGGTGTTTAGCGATCCATTTAGTTTGATTTAAAAATTCCTACTGGCTGTTGCTATGTTCCATATTTTTATTGAAGGGAAACAAAAGCAGATTGATATCCTGAAAATCTAATTATCTTTCATATATTCTTGGTAATTTTATATTCATATATGGAAAATTTACTTCAACTGGAATTATTCACGTTTTAATGCTAGCTAATTAACGGTATCATTTGACTTCCAAGATGAATATTACTGATGCTGAATCCCACAATATGGATGTCAGTTTCCAGCCAAACGTATCAGCCTTTCTGTATTTTTGAAGGTTTAGACAGTTTTATTATCACTTCAACCTTCAGAGACTTTCCTGCTAAATTTTACATGTTTGGATAGATAATATTTAGGAATGAAACTTAAAGAGAGCCCTGAAGATATAGGTACCTCTTGGGAATGTGTTCAGAATCCAGTTTTATCTTAACCAGCCTTAAGTAATTTACCTGTTGTCTTGCATTCTAATGGGACAATCTAAACTGTAAAACTATGAGAATAATTTTTAACCCATAAAATATAGTTCCTTAGGAAACGGTCCGCAGGGTTTACATGAAATAGTGTGTAGGCTGCATTACATAATGAATAAATAAATGATAGTAGCAAGTATAGTCACAGTGGGTAACTTCAAGAGCTTCTGAAGGATGAGCTGTGTCAACAGAAGCTAATACTACAGGCATATTTTAGGAAGACCGTTTCCTTCAAAGGGGATCTTAGACAGAAGGAAGCAATGAAATTTTCTAGGAGTTACACCAGCCCCTACAGGAACAGAACCTTTTCAATCAATGGGCAGAATGTTTATCATGGGGATAGAAGCCCCTGTGACATGCTGTTTATATTAATTAGTATGTGCTTTTCCCCTTTTACACTTATTTTGGGGTATAGTGTAGTCAGTGTTTCTCGCAAGTGGAGAATCAGCCTCTGGAATAATCCAACGCAGTGATTTTCCTAGGTTTCTGGGAAGGATAACAACTCATTTGGACAGCTTAGCCCTTCATACCTCTAATGCTTCTGACCCAGCGTTTACGGAGAAACAGTGGTCTCTCAATGGTATTTTCAGGGACCAGACTACTGCTTATCTAAGCAGTTCACTACGTCATCATCATGCTTTAATTGCAGTATTTATTAAAATTTAGGAGACCTGAAATTCATACAAACATATAAATCTAGATGAGGATTTGTCATATTAAATAGCACAGGTGTATAAATTCAGCATGAAAGTACATATTTTAATTAGTTAGGCACAAAGGTCTCAAAGATTTGGTACAATAAGCATTTATTAAGAGTTGATTATAAAGATGTCTTCTATATTAGTGATACATGAAATATGAAAGGCTAAATTTTACAAATAGTTTGTGAGACTTTTACTATATTCAGAATACTTTCTGATTTACAACCAAAAAATGTAAATTTTCTTGTTATAAGGACAATGAAATACGGCCATTGCTCTAATGCAACCATGTTGCTGAACA